TTGATCTCCAATTTAAGACCTACTTTAATTTTTCTTTTTTTTTCCTTTTTGTATTTTTGTATCTATTTATTTTTTGATTTTATAAAATGCTAAAACAACGCAAATACCTAATTACCCTAATTAACTCTTAAAATTACTTATAACTCTATTTGAAGACAAATGCAATAATTAGCAATGCATAGAACTATTTTCTTGCAATTTTCTTTACATTTTATTCTAAAACTAATTAATACTAAAATTGTGAAATTAAATCCCTAAATGCCAATGCATATTTTTGGTATTTTCATATGGATCAAAATGCACAAATAAAAATGCCACAATTACCAAAGCATACCACAAAATTCACAAAAATTTATAGAATACTAGAAAACATTGTTTTGTTTGAAATTTTAGGAATTATTGCTTAGGGCAAAAATCACGTGCTCACAAAGGGCACTTGTTGCTTATGGAGGATGAAGGTAGTCTATTTATTAAGTATGTAGAGGTGAGTATGCACTCTCCCCAATATTTGAGGGGTAATTTAGACTGGAAAAGTAATGCCCTGGCTGTTTCAAGTAAGTATTTATGTTTTCTTTCTACCACCCCATTTTGTTGGGGTGTGTAGGGGCAAGTCTTTTGGTGGATAATTCCTTTTGATTGGAAGAATGAAGCAGCCTCAGAACTGGTGAATTCCAGTCCATTATCAATCCTTATGGACTTGATTGAAGTTCCAAACTGGTTTTCTACCATAGTGAAAAAGGCTTTGATCACATGTAGAGCATTGCTTTTGCTGCCCAGAAGATGTGTCCAGGTAGATCTACTATAATCATCCATAAGAGTTATGAAGTATTTGTGACCATCATGAGTGGCTACGTGATAAGGGCCCCATAAATCAATGTGTAACAATTCAAAGAGTTTGGTTGAGGTTGAACTTTTTAGAGGAAAGGGCAATCTTGTTTGTCTAGCCATAGGGCATATGGGACACATAAAGGGTTGTTTTGGAGCAAATTTAACTGGTATGGTAGAGATACCTCTCATCTTTACAAAAGGTACATGTCCCAAACGATTGTGCCACAAGGAATCAACAGTATCAACACTATCAACAAACACATTCAGAATAGAATCACCCCCTCCTTTATTCAATTCTGGACTATGTACAGCAGTTTGGGAATGAGAAGGTACACTATTTACATGTGTGTGTTGTGAAGTGGAAGAACAAGACACAGAATTACAAGCATTACTAGACATAGACTTTGAGAATTGAAAGTACAAACCATCAATTGCTTTACCAATCTCCAGAGGCCTCTTCACTGAAGGGGCCTGCAGAATGAAGCAAGCAAACTTGGTAAATGCAACTATACAGTCAAGTTGGATTGTTAAGGAATGAATAGAGATTAGGTTATATTTGAAACTTGGTACAAAAAGGACCTTTCTCAAAGTGAATTTGGGACTAAGAACAACATCCCCAATGAGTGTCACCTTCACCTTATAACCATTTGGCAAAGTCACTAGGAAGGGATAAACTAAGGTTTTGGTGTTGACTAACAAGGATCTTGAAGGTCATATGGTTTGTGGCACCGGAGTCTAGGATCCATGAGTCGGTATTTGGTTCGAAACAATCATATGAGTGATCACCATGTTCAAAGGAATTGCAACAAGTCACAGTACCTACAAAGCTAACAGCACCACCAGCAAGGTTGGCATTGCCAAAGTATTCCCCTGCATTTCCTGGCTGAAAGTTCTCCAGTAGGCTCAACAATTGGCCATACTGCTCCTTGGTTAAATTGTGCAAGTTTTGACCTCGCTCCTGCAGCATCCCTTCTTCTCTTTCTCCAGTATTCATTCTATCACCTGGCCCTCCAAAAATGCATCTGCAACATTAGCTTTCCCTTTGTTATACTTATTGAAGGTCTGTGAATTGTTATTGGGCCTATTCATCCCTTGTGGGTATCCATGGAGTTTGTAACACTTGTATTTGGTGTGCCCCGGTCTCTTGCAATACTCACAAAAAGGCCTAGGCCTGTTAGGATTGTAGTTTCCTCTGAAACCACTAGTTCCAGCAGAGTTTTGACTGTAATTTGTCCTAAACGTGTTCACACCTGTGGTGTTTACATTGAGAGCAGTAGAATCAATCATGACTTGACTCTGGGACTTGACTTCTCTCTGCTTCTCTTCCTGAATAAGAATGGAGAAGGCCTATGCTATGCTAGGTAAGGGGTTCATCATCAGTATACTGCCCCTCACTACTGTATATACTTTATTTAGTCCCATGAGGAATTAGATCAACCTCATGTCCTGTTCGGCCTTTTGCATATTGGCCTTAGCTCCACACACACATTGACAACTACACTGAGCATGATTATTCAGCATGTTTAACTCTTCCCACAGCTTTTTCATCTTCGTGTAATATCCAGTAATATCGAAGGTCCCTTGGTTTAAATCACTAATCTCCTTTTGTAATTGATATAGCTTTGCTCCATTTGTTTGATCATACCTGTCCTCTAGCTCTTTCCAGAGTTCCTTTGCATCGTTAACATATTGTAAGCTATCCGCTAAATTCTTAGAGAGTGAGTTCAGTATCCACGAGGTTACCATGTCGTCGCACCGTTCCCACTGATCGAAGAGTACATCGCTTGCATATTGCTTTTTGCATTTTCCATTGATGAATCCTACCTTATTCTTTACAGACAGAGCTCTCAACACACCTCTTCTCCATGATCTGTATCCAGAGCCATCAAAAGGAGTCGGCACCAAAGTAGTCCCTGCATTCTCCGATGGATGCATGTAGAGTGGACTAGTTGAGCTCAACGGAGTATTGGTTGGAGCATTGGTTGAATTCGCTACTTCTTCTTCTCCGGCCATGATTCAAGCAGTCGATGATGTTTCAATTGAGAAGTTGGCGGTTAGAGAACTCAATTTCAGAGAATTGACTGAAAAATGGAATGCGATCTGAAGAACCCTAAATTGAACAAAGAGGGGACGAAATCGAAGAGAAACAAATCGAAGAAGAAAACGAGCTTGATGAGGAATTAGATCGAGAGCCCGAGCCTGAGCTCTGATACCATCTCAAAATTGGAAGGAAGCCATTGAAATGAGCTTTGGCTCACACGAGAGAATTTGGACTGAGAGAGAACATTCTGGAAGAAACCGGAGATTTCTTCATTTCTGCAAAAAAACTAAACTCTTCATCTGTACAATGCTTACTTATAAGCAAATGAAAGCAAAGAGGAAAAAGAAGATCAAGGAAAAAGAAGATCGAATAACTACTCCTAACCACCTCTATTAACTATTTTAACTACCATGTAAAATAATTAAGTATGCATTCTATTATCTATTGTGTGTTACAGTGTGTGTATGTACAGTGTGTATTGCTCAGTAGGGTTCTATAGAATTGGCATACACAATAATAAGCTTCATAAAGTTGGGAATTGGGATACATTTGAATTTTTTGTTGTTCCTATCATGTCTTTCTTTCAGAAAATTCCCACTCTTAAATACCATGATGTATATATTGCTGTAAAAAGAAAAGGCCGCATGAAAAGCACTCATAAAAGAGCTATTTTCTAAAGACTCTAAAAATGGTGGACAGTTGATGTTATAATGACTATTACCAAATAAAAAGAGAGCTTATAATGACGATTAGAGTAAGAATTTTAAAGTTAAATTATTTCTGATGGTGCGTTTTCAGAAGCAATTCGATCAGAATTTGTCCCAGTTGAAATCCTACGAGAACAGCCTAATTTTAAAAAAAAAAAAAAAAAAAAAACAGGTCTCTGATTTTCTGAAAGTTGATAACTTATTCCAAACAAGGAAATTAAAGACCACTGAAAAAAAAAAGAGAAACACAAGAAAGAGCTAATCTTCATTGCGAGGGTAAATAGAGGACCACATCCTTTAATATGGGCAATTAGCATAAAGGGCACTGCACTTTCTTGCGTTTTCAATGTGGTCCAACAAATTTTAAGGTCACACAAAGATTAAAAAACGGCAGTCCGGTGCATAAAGCATCTCGCATTTATGCAGGTTTTGGGGAAGGGCTGCACTCCAATGAAAGTGTAACGTATGCATCCTACCCTAATGCAAACATCAACGGCTGATTCCACGGCTCGAACTCGTGACCTATAAGTCACACGGAGATCATACAAGATTAAGTGTCTATTAATTCCATTGGTGGTAGATAACGTTCCAAAAGTTACATAATATTTACCAGCATATGATTCCAACGTAACCCTCCCCTAGTCCACAATAAATTAAAAGACAAAATGATAGAGGAAAAAAAAATCTTTTTGTTTGTGAATGAAAAGATTGAAAATCTTTTTCAAGTTGGTTCTCACGAATACATGGAAAGATCTGCAAAAACATTTACGAAAACAAGGCGTATATAACTTAATTTCTTCCTAAATTCTGAAGACCACTAAGATTTCACTTTTAGAAATGAGGACATCACGACCAATATAATTATAGAAAGAGAGAGAGAGAAAGTTGCTAAGCTTCATAGACCATAGTGTTATTAGAAGAGGTAACCAAGTGCTGATGTGTTGCACACTATATAAAGCGCACGGAATAAAAAATATGATGTTTGGATTTGAACCTATAATTGTTTGAATTCCTAGATATCTTTTGCTTAATCAATCAGTATTATCACAGTTCATCCGATTAATTCGAATGCGCACCACAGAGTGCCCATTTTAGGAAAAGCATTTTCTAATAAAACATTTTTCATTCACGTGCCTCGATCATAAGATTTCTGATTAAGTTTAGAGAAAACTAGTACGTTCTACCATATTTGTGGATGTTGAATTCCAAGAGTTAATTGGAGGTTGCATCTTGATGCGTTTGAAGTTATCTTCAATTCTTTAAGACACGTAACAAACAAACTAGGAGGGGTTGGATGTGAATTCCACTTGGTACAACAAATATAGACCAACAATTGTACTAGTGAAATGAGGAAAATGAGAAAAGAGTGCCAAGCCAACAAAAGTCCCCATGTGTTAGAATTGCAAAGAAAGAGACCTTCGTCTAACTAAAAACGGAAGACGGGCGGCAATGCTATATCTCCTTCCTTTTCAATTATCGCTCGTTGGCCATGTGATTTCATTTTGTATAATGTTAATGCAAATTCATTTTCCACTTGCTAACTAAAGGTTGCCTTGAAAAGAATGACCGTTGCAATTTAAGTTTAATTCAGAGGGAAAATGATAGTATTATATATCCGCTCCAAAAATTATAATATATATATATATTATTATTATATATATATATTATATATATATATATATATATATATATTTTGCGGCTACTGACGTTAAATAGTTTCGATCGCGGGCTAAACGATATTTTCTAAATTCTTGACTCTTCTTTTCTTGTGGCATAGTATTGCCAAGGTAGAGTTTAGGATTTTTTGTATTTTTTTGATTCCCTCCCCCCCCCCCCCCCCCCCTCAAAATCTACCGATTCTGTCTTCGACCGTGTCGTTTTTGAGTATTTGAATATCTGTCTTCTGTATTTGAGTCGTATCAAAACAAATCATTTCTCTTCGGCTTAACAGACTTTACACCGTGTACCTATTATTAAAAACCCTTAACACAATATACTTCAATTATGAAATTACATGTTAATTACCTTACATATCCATTTAGTCAAAAGAACAATAACTACCATATAAATTTACTCCCTAATTAAAGGAAAATATCGATCTATATGAAGCAAATCCACTCCATCCATTTAATCTTTGGACCAAAATTAACGAATAAAATTCCTTTAAACAAAGCCTTTTCTTATGAGGACCGTTGTCCTTATTTTCTTTTATACAATAAAAAATTATTTAGTAAAATATTCATTGTATACTAGTATTATATATAGCATGTTAATATTGTAAGTAAAATAACATACACACAATAAATAAAAATAAAGGTATATTTGGTTTGGATAATATATTCCAAATTAGAATATTGTGGTACGTTTAGTTTGAATAATATATTATAAATTAGAATATTGTAGGTATATTCGATTTGAATATTATATTCCAAATTAAAATATTATATACTAGTATTATATATAGCATGTTAATATTACAAGTAATATAAATTATACACAACAAATAAAAATAAAGGTATATTTGATTTGAATTTTATATTTCAAATTAGAATATTGTTGTTTGTTTGAATATGTAATGTTTGGTTTGAATATGGATTTTAAATTATAATATTGTATGTGTGTATGGTTTAAATATTGTATTCTTTATTAGAATTTGGTATGTTGGTTTTGAATTACATATTCTTCATTAAACTATTGTAATTTGGGATACTTGGTTTGAATATTGTATTTTAAATTAGAAACTTGTGGTATGTTTAATTTGAATATTATATTGCGGTGTATTTGATTTAAATATTGTATTTCCAAATTAGAATATTAATGGTGTTCGATTTGAATATTGTATTCCATGTTAAAACATTTTCACCTTATTTTTGTTTTTCTTTTGATTTAGATGGAAGAGAAGAAAAAACTACGAAGGACTTAGAGAAAATTATTGGGTATGAACTTTTTGTTCAGGAAGGTAAGTATAATCCCAATTCCTTAAACGTGGGATGATGGAGTGTTTTAAAGAAGTGAGAGATAATTTAGTTCCTTAAAATGTGAGATTTGTTTTAATGGTATATAATGATATTAAAGATTTAAAAAGTAACTATAGTTTTATAAAATAGGTATACAAGGTAAAATAAATTTTTTAAATGTATATGAAGTTAACTGATTTTTCCCATAGGTATACCGCGTAGATTCCCCTAATTGGAATTTAGTTTGGCACTGATGCGGTAGCAGATAAACGTTAATTTGTGGGCCTAAGTTGCGTTAATCTTTCTGGGCCTAAGTTGTTTCTCGATCATGAAGATGTTTAATTTTGATAAAACGTTTAAGATATTAATTTCATTTGAAAATTAATGTTGTTGACTTCTTAAAAGTTGTATAAGTTGCATAAACTTTTGAGTTTTGAGTCGTGTTAAATATTTGAGATGTTAAGAGTATTATATAAATTGGAACATGACAGTAGTAACAGAACAGTATTTGATTTAAAATAATTGGACTTATGTATTATATTAGTAATAAAGGAGATGTACTAAGTAAAAGCTGAAAAATGTGATTCTGTTTGAATATAAATTTGTGATACAGTAAAGAAAAGACATGTGTGAGGAATAGTATTTTTCTCAAAAAAAGGAAATTATTTTATCAACCACCATTTATAGAAATCTTTTTCGTTCCTTGTGCAAAAATTTGCTTCAGCCTTTATTTAATAAGGAAGCACAATCACGTGATGAACATGACTTTTCTATTCAATTGTCCTCTCAAATTAATCTCATTTTCATTCATTTGTTTCAACTTCTACTTACAAAGATGACTTCTATTAATAATTGCTAGTAACAACAACAAAAAACTGTTTTTTTTTGTTTTTTTTTTTTTTAAATTTTTTTGTTACGGAAAGACCAATTCTGAGAAAGTAAATATGCAGAATTCTTTCCTTTATGTCTCATAAAGGTATCAAAGTGTGTTCAGAACCACATGATGAGGGAGGTGAAAACTTAACAAATTTTGAAAAATGTAAGGAAGTTAAATAGCTATTTTTTGAACTGTTTTCAGAAAATGATAAAAAAATGGAAGAAAGACAAATGAAAACAGAAAGAGATAGAGACTTATGATTTGGATATAAAAATATGCGTATTAATGAGAAAGGAATAATTGCACTTTTAATCCCTCGCTTATTGATAAATTTTGATTTTAATTCTATGACATTGAAAAACAGCATATTTATTTTAGAACTACATTCTAAAATATATAACAATACAAACTTAACACAAAATAGATAATTG